GCAACATAACAAAATTGAAAAAAGTGAAGGGGGTCTGAATACTTTCCGAATGCACTGTAACTAGTGATATATTTGAAAACTATAATCTCTATGACATTTTAAAATTTTTGTTTATTCATCTGTACTTTATTCCATTATCTTTTTTCTTCTTCATTTTTTTTATATTATTTCTCTTTACATATTTCTTTCAAATGTCTCATAATAGTAAAAAATAAATAAATATAGATATACTACAGAGTAACTCAACTGAATGACTTCAGTACATAATATAAAGTATACTGATTGAGCCCCAGTATAAAGCTCCAGTAATGTCTAGTACTTGTGACCCTGTATGATCAAATACCCTTTCAGCTTGAATATCTGGTATACATTTACTTTTGTGTATCAAGTTTTCTCTAGCCGAATGATGGACACTCTCTACAACTTTGATAGGCTTGGTACTGACTCCTTGACTGACTTACTACTCTTCTGTGTATCTATCTCACCACAAGTATCATTGTTGGAATCAGAATTTGGGTTATGTACTATGCTTTTGCCTTTCCCAATTCCTATTCCTGACCCAGAACAGTCATGTAATAATTCATATTATATATTCTCATGGTACTAATTATCACTTTTTATTAAAAACCAGTATAATATATTCAATTTGTCCAAAAGGACAAGCCTGGATTTAAGATATTCCTCCAAAAGATAATTACATTAAACAGACACAAAACTCTTATATAATGCCCAGTTCCCCTACATCTCCAGCTGAAACCAATCCTGGAGATAATTTGTGCGGAATAAAATGAACATTAACTAAATAACAACTGATTAAAATAATTTGCTCATAAACTAGGACATCCTATTTGTAAAATTAAAGGATTCCTTATTTGTATGCATTAATATCTACATACATACATACAATACATACATACATACAGTGGTACCGCTAGTTACGAACTTAATCCGTTCCATGACTCTGGTTGCAACTCGAGTTGGTCGCAACTCGAGGTAAATTTTCCTATAAGGTTCATGTAAATACGGTTAATCCGTTCTACCCTCCGAATTTGGTCGCACCACGAGGCAAATTTCCCCATAAGGTTCAATGTAAATACGGCGAATCCGCCCTCCGAATTTGGTCGCACCACAAGGCAAATTTCCCCATGAGGTTCAATGTAAATACGGCTAATCCGCCCTCCGAATTTGGTCGCACCACGAGGCAAATTTCCCCATAAGGTTCAATGTAAATACGGCGAATCCGCCCTCCGAATTTGGTCGCACCACAAGGCAAATTTCCCCATGAGGTTCAATGTAAATACGGCGAATCCGCCCTCCGAATTTGGTCGCACC